GAGGAGGAGGAGGAGGAGGAGGAGGAGGAGGAGGAGGAGGAGGAGGAGGAGGAGGAGGAGGAGGAGGAGGAACGAGGAGAGGAGGAGAGAGAGGACGAGGAGGAGGAGGAGGAGGAGGAGGAGGAGGAGGAGGGAGGAGGTGGAGGAGGAGGAGGGGGAGGAGGAGGTTGAGGAGGGGCAGGAGGAGGACGGAAGGGAGGAGGAGGAAGAGGAGGAGGAAGAGTCCGTATCCAGTTTGATTCAAGCCATTTGGGCCCAAATGCTGTCTCAGAAAGCCGCGCATCCCTCTGTCATACATCACGTTCCGCTTGAGACAGACTGAGCCTCCTTTGCACAGGAGTCAGGTACCACCTGATATTATTCGCATTTGGGACCCCAAATAATCCTTGGACCAGTACCACGCACATCCAAGGCGCAACATGGCCGCAAGGAAAAAAATGGGCGTGTCAATAAAACACGCCAATCCGTGGCACTGTCTCTGCACATGTGGCGCTGAGACAGATCGCAGAGCAAGGCGGCAAGGCACGGGCTCAAGCATGACAGACAACTGCGTATCTTTTTCAGGTAGGGATTGCCACACCAGCGGTTGCAGAGTTAGACCCAGACTGGCACAAGTGGGAACCTCCTACCTCAGAGGTCCAGTACATCACATGAAAGGAAAAGGTCAAGTGCAGGATGTTCACACTAATCAAGCTTGCAATTGCAACCAACACAATAATAAAAAGCAATCAGACGCTCCAGAGCCGGAGGAAAGAACGATGCCTTCATATTGTGTTTCGGTGCCCGAACCTCTTGGACAACAGTAAGCCGGCCGGCGAAGGGCAGATATGACTACGATTAGAACAGGAGTTCAGGGACACTACAAACAAAGAGAGGGCGCTCGATATGATGGAGCTCGAGTTAGCCGAGCAGATTGCAGAGTCCGAGAGTGAAAGAAAAGATCTGGACCAAAACTTGGCAGAAGAGAATTGGCAGCAACGCGGCTTGGCTCGAGCACCGACTCAGGCCCAAGAAGTACAAGCAGACGCTTCAATGTGCTCCCCAGGCGACAGGAGCAAATGCAAGGACAATGCAAGAGTGGCAGAGGACCTCAGGGCAAAGGACCTACGCGCACGCACCTGCAGCGCACCAAAGCGCAACGGAGCACAATCGCGGACGCCATCCAGCTCACGGTGTGCCGTGAGGACCAGGTGGACCTGGCCATCGCTCGGACGTCCGTTCCCTGTGCTTTTTCGGTTTCGTGCGTGGCTTTTTCGCCAAATGATCAAGAATGCTCCTCGATGGCCCTCGCCGAAGGGAACAACGCACACGTCCGAGCGATGCCAAGGGACAGACAGAACATGCGTCTCCAGCAGGGCACGAGGACTCTCTCCAGGGGAAGAGGGGGCGCGACTCCGGACGCCCACGGTGGGGCGCCACGCGGGCCCGCGCCGCGGTCCGCGGGCCCGCCTCGGCAGCAGTCGGCAGCATCTCCAGCAGGGGGCGGACCGCCAATAGGAGGAGGAGGAGGAGGAGGAGGAGGAGGAGGAGGAGGAGGAGGAGGAGGAGGAGGAGGAGGAGGAGGAGGAGGAGGAGGAGGAGGAGGAGGGGGGGGGGAGGAGGAGGAGGAGGAGGAGGAGGAGGAGAGGAGGGAGGGCAGGGAAATGCTGCGAGGAGGAGGAGGAGGACAAGGAGGAGGACATGCAGAGATTTTCCAACGGTGGGTGGCACGGGCCGCGGGCCGCCGGCGTCTCCAGCCGTGGCTGGGTCGCCCACGTCTCCGACGGCGGGCGGGCCGATGGGGCCGCCGCCGCAAAAGCCAGGGCGGCCAAAGCAAGCAGAGCCACCCGCGTCGACCTTCGCAGCCCAGATGCCTCCTCTCCCACTCGGGCGCTCAAAAGCAGCGCGTGCTCAGTGCAATCGGGACAGCCCGGCGCCAGTGCATCCTGGCGAAGCTGCTCAAGCCAGCAAGGTGGCCGCACGGAGACTCGAGGCTGCCATGGGGGCGGCAGTTCCAGGGGCGCCGTCGCCGACTCAGATGTGGGGCCCAGCATCGTCCGAGTAGTTCGTCGGGCAAGTTGCCAGCGAGTTGATGGAGCCCACCCAGTGCGTTCGGATGACTCAAGCAGAAAAACCTCCCGCGCCACCTTCAGTGACGGAGCCGATCATGATCGTCCCATCCCCAAAAGTTGCCAGAGAGGAAGGTGGAACCAGGTCCAGGCTAGCCGAGGCACCGACTGGACTGGCAGCTCCTCGCAAGAGCGTGATGCTGCCCAGCAGCTCAGAGGAACTGCGTGCAGCGAACAACACCCAAACGGTCAAGGGATACGTCAGGCCTCCGCTGAAGATGCACACGCAATTCATGGTCAATTTGGGGATGGGGTTTGGCCGTGCACAAGATCACGGGATGAATCGAAGACTGCAACATCCGCGTCGTCGTCGATTTCCGCCCCAAGGGGGACCAGCGTGGGCCTCGGTTGCTTCGGAGAGAAAGGTCGGGCATCGTCCGTTGCCGAGTCGGACTGGCCAGCGCCGGCCCCTGCTTTCTCGCGGGCCTCCGCCGAAGGCCAGCATTTTCATGCCTGTGGCGAGTGCGCGAAGTTCTTTGGTGTCGAGCGCGCGCGCGTGCGCGCGCGCCCGCGCGCCGGGCGCGCCGCTGCAGCGGCAAGCGCAGCTTGCGCGGCGCGCGCGCCAGAGGCCCAACGGCCAACGCGCGTTCTGTTCTGAGAGGCCGAAGGGCCCATGAGCAGCCGACGGCGCAACGGAGGGGGGAGAGAGCAGGGCGGCCGAGGCGCAGCGCCCCCGCGGCACAACGCAGCGGCGCGGGCGCGCGCAGAGTGCGAGACAGAGAGAGACAGAGAGAGAGAGAGAGAGAGACACAGAGAGAGGGGGAGAGAGAGAGAGAGAGAGAGAGAGAAAGGGAGAGAGAAAGAGAGAGAGAGCGAGAGAGAGAGAGAGAGAGAGAGAAAGGGAGAGAGAAAGAGAAAGAGAGAGGGAGAGAGAGAGAGAGAGAGAGGGAGAGAAAGGGAGAGAGAAAGAGAGAGAGAGAGAGCGCGCGCACGCAACTTTCCGAGGTTCCGCGCCCAGATACTTCTCGGACGTCCGAGGAGGTGCAGGTTCACTTGGGCCGCGGGCCCTCCCCCGACGCTGCAGGCCCATCGGCGCCCGAGGCCCTGGACCTCCATCCTTCCGGCGCTGGCCCGGGGGGGCCTGCGCATCGTGAAGCCGAACGCGCAGCAGCCGCGATCACGGTCGCGCGTGACCTTCCGCGCCTTGCGCCACCAGCGCGATGGTCTAGGAGCTCAGTCGCCCCCGCATCTTGAACGCGTCCCTCTGCTGCAGGCGGACGATGCAAGTCCCTCGGATGACGGAGCTCGGCTATAGGGCTTCCGCCCTGCCCGCGGCGAGCCGCCAATCATCACTGTCTCCGCCTCTACCTTGGCCGCTCCCTGTTTGCCGATGGGGGCGGCGAAAGGGGGCCTGGGGGGTGGTTGTTTTACAACGAGATGGCGACGGCGCCTCTCGTCAGGGCGCACCGAGGGAGGAGATTTCGGACACCGACGGCGCGGCGAAGGGGCCCCGAGTCCAGCGCCAGCACCGCGCCAGATGCATCATTTACGGGCGCGGTTCTGGCTCGCGACAGTCCACCCGCGCTGCCAAGTTCATCTCTCCCCCGACCCCCTGCGCGCCTAGGGGGGGGGGGGGGGGCGTCTCGTGGGGGAAGGTCCCAACGGCTTGCGTCCAACCTGTGCGCGGTCTTGCCAGCGCGTTCAAATCCGTTCTGCACAACTCCAGGCGCATTGCTCGTGTGTCCACGCGCGGGCGGGCCATTCCTGGAACAGTCTCGTCGGCAACGTTGCGAAAGCGACGGCCCAGGGCAAGCTGCGCCCCCCGCCTGAATTCGGCCCCAAGCTCGCGCAAGCAACGCGCGGTGCCCCGCCCAGACCGTGGGAGTGGTTGCGAAGGCAGGGGCGCGGCTCTCAGGCCTATCCCAAGCTCGCCCTCTGCGAGGGACGAGGGAAGCTACCCGCTACGTTGCCAGGCTGCTCTTTGCAGCCAGGGGCATGCTAGTCTTTGCTTGAGCAGTTGGACGCGACGGACAAAAAATCACCGCGCAAATGACAGCCGCCACTTTCAATCTGAAGTCAGCTCGTGAAGAGCACCGCAAGGAAATTCGCGGTCGCCATAGGCCTCAGCGGCTTAACCTTCTCAAGAAACAGTTCCACGAGTTGGAAATGGCCTTAGTTAGAATTCACGAGGACAAGAACGAAAGGCATCTGAAGGGCGCTGCTGGGAAAATTCATACTGGGTGTTCCTAGGGACATGGGGGCACAAAATGAGGGCGGCGCCATGCGTTCGGGTCAAGAGGGCATATCTGATTTCAAGAGGGAACGCTGTCACGCGTTGCACTCTGCTCCACGCGCACTTATCATTAGCTCCTCGGCCCCAAGCCTAGGCTGTAATCGATCTGCATGTATATATATATATATATATATGTTCAGGATGCTAAGCGGCGGTGAAGCGCGGAGCGCCAGGAAAATGACAGAGACGAGAGAGCGGCGAGCGACAATGCTAGCATTTTCCAGGCCGGGCTCAACGAGCCTCCGAAACACAAAAGGGTTGCACAACATGCATTCCGAGCAATACGTCGGTGCCGGCACCACCACTCTCCCCAGAGTATAGTACAGGGTGGGAGGGCGGGGGACCAAGAGCGACTACGGAGACGCCCAAAGATCCCCCTCGGACCTTTGGCCTGAGACCGCCTCGCCGCCACAGAACAAAACAGTCAAAGACAAATATGTTCAGGATGCTAAGCGGCGGTGAAGCGCGGAGCGCCAGGAAAATGACAGAGACGAGAGAGCGGCGAGCGACAATGCTAGCATTTTCCAGGCCGGGCTCAACGAGCCTCCGAAACACAAAGGGTTGCACAACATGCATTCCGAGCAATACGTCGGTGCCGGCACCACCACTCTCCCATAGCTCCCCATATGATTGGCCTTCAGGGTTGGGTGGGTTGGGCCCTAGCTCATCACGCGCTGGTTCTGAAGGATCCGAGGGAACTGCGTGAGGAGCCACTGCAAAGAAGTCTCACCGTGGACGCCTGGCACCGCCTTCAGGCGGTCGAGCTGCTTCAAGAGGCGGCCCTTTTTCTCGTAGCGCTTGCAGCTTGCCAGGCTTTTCCAGCGGCCTCTCTTTTGGATCTGCACGATCGGGAGGTCGTCCAGGCCATCTGTCGACGCACCGCCGTGCCGAAGGCAATGCGGGGTGAGGCGCAGGTTCTCGAGCCCGAGCTCCAGGGTCCCGCGACGGAAGACCCGCTCGTACGAGCTCAGGGAGAGGCCGTCGAACACCAGCGCGCCCGCCTCGGTCGTCCGATGCAGCACCTGCAGGATCTTGGTGAGCAGCGGCCTCCGAGCCTCCGAGGTGTCGCCAAAGATGACCGTGTCGTCGAAGTCGCCGCTCTTGGTAGGGCGCCCTTCCTCTTCCGGGCAGATCATGGCGGCCCAGCACCTCCGGGCGCCGCGGCCGCCCTGCGGCGGGATGAGCTGGTCCCGCCCCAGCCCGAGGCCCTCCGAGGCTCGCAGGTAGCCGTCGAAGAGCACGAGGGTGAGCGCCGCCGAGTCCGCCATGAACGGCGTTCGCTGGCGGCCCATCCAATGGGCAAGGGCCAGCGCTGCCTCCCACGGGCACCCATCCCGCGACCTGGTCTGCGAGGCTTTGCGGAAGCCACGCAGGGCTCGCCGCGTCCGGGGGAAGTGCGGCGTCTTCGCCCAGACCTCGTCGATGTGGTACATCAGGGCGTGGACGACGTTGTTGGCCCGGCTCGCGGGCTCCCCGTCGAAGAAGAGCTTGTCGAGGTAGCGCTCCAGGGCCTCGTCGTGAGCCTCGGTGCTCACGGTCGAGAGACGCTGCGCCTTCCACCAGGCCACGAGCATCTCGTACTCCCGCTGGTACAGCCGCAGCGTGGCCCCGCCCACCGACCTCTGCTTCAAGTAGCCCTTCTCGCCGGGGGACACCTTCACCGTCTTGGCCACGGCCTGTCTGGTGGCGGCGCGCCGCCGCCGGTCGCCGGTCGGGGGACGACTGTCGACCCCGTCCGGCAGCAGAAGGCCCTGCGGCGGCCGGCCACCGCTGGTCAGGGTCGCCTGCTGCGCGAGCCGCGCGGCCCAGCGCTCGGAGGGCGACGCGACGCTGCTCCGCGCTGTCGCCACAGAGCTGGTGCCCGACGGCGTGCTCCCAGCCAGTAGTAAACCGCCGTGGACACGAGGGGACCTCGAGCGGCTTCGGCTGCGGGAAGCCCGCTGCCGCTGCCAGCTCGCGCTCCCAGCGCGGGTCGAGCGCCGGCTCGCCATCTCGGCGGAGGGCACCCGGTCCGAGAGCCTCTTTGAGCCCCCGGGCTGCGACGCGGCAGAGGCCAGGAGGGTAGGCGCCAGCCAACGAGGTCTTCCATTTCCAAACTAGTTTGCCTGTCTCATCTGGGATCTTTACCTTACCTTCTAGTCGTTCATGGGGTACAGTACACACACAGGCCCTCTCAATGACACTCAAGGACGGGACGTTCGTCACGAACACGGTCGGCTTAAGGTAAGGAGCCCCATAGCGACAACAGTGATACTCGAACGACACGCAGCCCAGTTTCTCGAAGATGTTAACGAGGGGCGGGTACTTCAGGAGCCTCGAAGACCTAGGGTTCTCGAGCGACACGGAGACCCCACACCGATGGCACATCTTGAGGACCCGCACCGTGAAGTCAGCGCACCCAAGGCCTGCTCTCGAACCTTCCGAGTCTGGGGCCCCAGTCGCGTTGGCTACACTCCAGCGGGTACACGGGGTAGCGATGTGTACATGACAGACATATCCGTGGGAAATCCAATGCAGTATCTTTTGCTGAACAGCGATGCTAAGAACGTTGAAGTGCGGCCCGGCTGAGACATCGACAGGGCACAGGATGCGGAGGCCTGCCGCCGCGCACGCGCCAGAGAACCTGCAGCTCCCGCCGAAGATCTCCAGCACCCCAGCGCGGTCGCGCCGACGCGACGGCCCCCGTGCGCCAGGCCACGGTGGCCGGCGCTGGGGGCCCGCGGGAGGCGCCGGCGCCGCCGCCGAGCTCGCGGCGGCGCGCGGGGCGCCATCGGGCACGCGGTCGGGGCAGCACGCGCCCTCGCGCAGGCGCCTCAGCCGGGCGGCAAGGCGGCCCCCGCGCAGCGACTCGCCCGGCGCCAGGATCCCCTGCTCCGCGAGCCTGGAGTCCGAGTCCGTGGGGTTGCGGTCCGTCTCCACGTAGCGGCGAACCCACCGCGCCTCGGCCCCGAGCTCGACCGCCGCTGCCCGGCGGCACACTGAGTTGAGGGCGGGGTCATGCGCCCGCCCCCGCTCGGTGGCGAGCACCTCCGAGAGGTTATCGCCCAGCGACAAGACCACGCCTCCGTGGCTGGCAGGGTCCCGGACGGCGTGGTACAGCCCCACCAGCGCGATCCTCGCCTCCTTCATGTGGATCGCCTCGCGGCGCTGCCAAGCGCCAACCAGAAGCCGCCGCCAGCGCGTCGGCGCCACCAGCGTGTCCGGCAGCGCGGGCACGATCCCCGTGACCCTGGGGTGCGGGAGGCCGAGTTCGGCAGCCCGCAGGGCCTCGGCTGGCACCAGGCTGCTGACCCGCGGGGCGCGCCGCACAGGAACTGCGCGGTCGCCCCTCCGATCCCAGTCGCCGTCCTCGATGTCCAGGTCGGCGCCCAGCTCGCGGAAGTCGGCGTCCAGGCCGGTCTGAGCCCCGTCGATGCCGGGCCCCTCGCCCTCCTCCGCGACGGCGAATCGCCAGCGCTCTCGCCAGCGGCAGACGTCGTACAGCAGGTGGGGGTCGATCTGCCCACTGTGGATCGCGTAGCCCCGCGTCGAGGCATCCGAGCAAAAAGCGACTGGGTAATGGTGCGGCCGCAGCCGACTGCGAACGAGGGCTAACAAGCCGCGGCAGGTGACCAGCTCCCCTCGAACATGGCCGTCAAACCGTCGGTAGCGCCCGAGGTTCTCAGTGCTAAAAACATACAACCGCGACAACACGCTGAGGGCGGGCCGCGAGAGCATGAAGAAGTTGACCAGGTGGCCGAGGATGATGCGCATCACCTCCCCCGCGCAGCCGCCTCGGAGCTCCAGCTGCCGCAGCGCGTGCCACAGACGCCAGAACCGAGACCGCCGCTGCCTCCAGACGAACTTGGCGCCCTGCAGCTCGAACCCCACCATGTCGAGGTTCGCGTCGCACTCCACGTTGTCCCGCAGCGTGAAGCCCCGCTCGCTGAGGACGGCCACCATCGAGCCGTAGAACACGGCAGCATCCTCGTGGTCGAAGCACAACAAGTTCCCATTGTCCACGTACGGCGCTGCGACCGGGCGCCCCTTGGCCAGCCGGGGCGCGGGCTGCCCGTCTCGGAGCAGCTGGGCCTCGGCCAGACCGCGATCGCAGCGCATCACGCGCACGAGGGACTCGACCATGGCGTCAGTCAGGGCTGAGTGGCAGATGAAGAGCGCCCAGGTCCACCCCATGGGCACGCCACAAAAACACGGCCACACGGGGTCCTTGGCCGCGACGGGCAGCCAGGTGCCGACCCCGTCCACGACGTCGAAGACCCGCGTGATCCCCGCCTCGGCAGCGGTCATCCGGCAATCGATGCCGAACCAGTCGCTCATCACCTTGAAGCTCAGCTGGTAGAACCCGTCCTGCAGGTCGACAGCGGCGCCGCACAGCTCAAGCGAGCCAGCGGCCCCAGGCTCCAGCGCGGCATCGCTCAGGTCGAGAGCGGAAGCCGCCCCCGGCGTCGCCAGGTACGAGTGCGGCGGCCGCCGGTGCCAATGGTTCGGCACGCGGGCGTCGACGATAAGCCGCTGCCACCAGCCGTCCTTCTTGACAACCGTGAAGAGGCCGATGAATGCCTTCACCGAGGGCCGGAAGACCACGAGGTTGCCCCGGTGGAGGGTGAGCACAAGCTCCTTCATCAGCTCGCGGCTGAACCGAAGTCTGGGGTCGGTGTATGGCCGAGGAGGTGGACCGTCCGCCTCCACGTCGTTGGCCCGCCGCTCGATGTAGCGCCAGGGGTCCGCCAGCAGCTTGCGGGCGTCCGCGCCGACCACATCCAGGGCTTCCTTGGGCATCGTACTGTTCTGCAAAATCTTGAGCCGCTCCAGCTGGATGGGGACCCGGCTGGAGGACTCGCTCGTCAAATACATGTCCGCGCACTTCAGGAGGTCCGGAAGCGCCGAAGAAAAACTAGCATCTGGAGGGGCAGGAAACTGGTCGTCTACCCGCTCCGCGACACGGTCCAGAATCGACTGCTGAGCCGACGTGACCTCTCGCTCTGCTGGCCGCGACCGCCGCACTTGCAGTGGTCGGCCGATCCGCGCTGACGCCAGGCCATTCAGCGCCGCCACCGCGTCTGACACGAGGGCTGCTGCTGAGGGCTCGTCGCCCGCTCGAGTCGGGAGGCGGCGCGAAGCCGCCCGATCACCCCTGCCGAACATGTCCAACGCGGAGCCCGTCGGCAAGGGGAACGTATCGCAGGGCGATGACAAAACCTCGCGGTCAGTGGAGGCCGTACACGGCCTCGAAGAAGGGGGCGCCGCCGAACTGCCCAAGCCCCGCGATGCCGGCTCGGGCCCGTCGCCGCCCCCGCGTCTCTCTAGCCGTTGCCCGTCTTGCCGCCGCCTTGCTGGCGACCGGCCTGCCTCTTCTTCTCGTTCTCCTGCTCCTCGACGTCCTGGCGCATACTCTTGAGCGCCACGGCGCTGGCCTTCTGCTGCTCCGCCATGTACTTGTCGAACTCCGTCGTCTTGAGTCCTCCCGACTCGTCGAAGTTGGAGAGCACGAAGCGCTCGAGGCCGGTGAAGTCCGGTGCCTTCGGGTTCCGCCGCACGGCCTTCTGGCAGACGACGATGCGGCGGCAGATCAGCTCCACCGCCGCCAAGGACACCATGTTCGTCTGGTCGTACGCCTGGAGCATCCTCAGGTAGTCGAAGGCCAGCCGCACCTCCCGCGCCACGCTGCCCGTCGGGTTCACCCCGCTCTTGCTCTCCCACCACGTCGGGTACAGATGGAGCTCCAGCCCCGCCGCGGCCACGTCGCCCAAGACCTCCTTGGCGGCCGAGGGCCCCTCGAACGGCCAGTCGGGGAACTTCGGCTCGCGGAAGAGGTTGATGGACTCGCGGAGCAGCATCGCTCTCTTGCCACCCGCGTCGCGATGCACAGGAAGAATGCGCAAGTCCCGACCCGGGCCGCTGCGCTTCTTCTCCAGCCAGGCGTCGTGGTCCCGGACCCGCACGCGCTGAACGGACACCCACTCGCTGGCGCCCTCGTCGATGCAGTACAGCCCGGTGTCGCCCTTCACGACCGCACGATCGCCCAGCATGTTCCCGTCCGCGACCACCTCGTTGAACTTCTCGTGGCCCGTGTCGGAGACCCGCCACTGGCGGTCGGCGGCGGCCGCCGTGTTGCCAGGCTGGTGGCCCAGCACGCGGGCGAGCTGGCCGCCCCGCAGGAAGAGGTCGTCCCGCTGGTCGGCCGTGAGCGGGTCGAAGCCGTACACATTGCCGCGCACCTGTGCAGGCCACGGCGCCGCCCGAGCCAGGGGCAGCACGCGGTGCTGAGACAAGTCGATGACTTGCACTGAAAAATCTGGGGTGGCGCATACCCACCGCCCCGGCCCAAGTTCGAAGAGCAACAGTCTGTGATGCCATAATGAATTGGGATCGTCGACGTAGTCCACCAGGATCTGGATGATATCAGAGTCCAGTGTTGTCGCCATCTCGCAGTCGCCGCAGCGTGGACGGCGTCAAGGCAGACCCCTCCTGCTGGGCCGGCGGAGTCGCCGGGGCACGGCCGGCGGCCGCAGGCTGGGCCGCAGCCGGGGCCCGCGGGCGGAGCGCGGCCTGCGCTCCCAGGGTGAGGCTCACGCCCAGCAGCAGCCCGAGGCCAGCCGCCACCAAGAAGCCGCCCACCGGCTGGGCGCACACAGGCGCCGCCGCGGCGTGCAGCCGCTCGGGCCCGCAGCGGTCCAGCTGCGCCCGGAGGATTGTCAGCAGCCCCTCGTCCACGGGGCTGGACTCGAAATGGCACGAGCAATGGGTGCTCGCGGTGGAGGCGCCGAGGTACGCGCCGACAAAGGCGGAGCCCGCCCCGCCGAGCTGCTCTGCAAGCCAGTGCATGCGAGCTTGGACCAAGAGCGACTACGGAGACGCCCAAAGATCCCCCTCGGACCTTTGGCCTGAGACCGCCTCGCCGCCACAGAACAAAACAGTCAAAGACAAATATATACACACACGCACGCAGATGCATCGCGCGCCATAAGGCGGGCAGCCCTGGAAAGAGTAAACCCTATGCTGGCAAGAACTGGGGGCCCGCATGGAAAAATGCCACCTGGGTTGGCACCCGCCAGCGCCAGTGGTTCCGTTAGACCCGCGGAGTCGGGAGCTGTGGAAGGAAGCCGCAGGTTGCGGGGAACAAGAACGCAGCAGCGGTGAGCTACTGCGTGACCTCACGCGAAACCATCGGCTTGCCGCTGCCAGCGCGTTCGCTGCCTCAGGAAACGACGGCGCGCATTGCTCGCAAGCTGGCACGCCCACGCGCGTAGATCACATCACTGTCCCGACCGGCAGGTCCGGGCTCATCTCAGGGGCCCCTGATACGCGCGGAGTAGGAACGCTCGGGGAGCATGACGACTATTTGCTGGTTTTCTCTATGAAATGAAATCGGGCGAGCAGGCTGTCGCCAGGAATGTCATCCCAAGGGCCCACGGAAGCTCCAGGGCCCACAGTGCCAGCTGGATGTCAATGTTGCTTGTCGGGGGCATGTCTCAAAAAACTGGGGGGTGCAATGCCACCGTCCGGTTTCAACTGGTTCGCGGTTTCCTCGACACCCAAGCTGGCAGGTCTTGTGCCAACTGCGTTCGAGGAGGCCATACTTATCCGACGCAACGATGGCCCTGGAACGCACGCGCAGGAGGCGCAGGAAAACAACGCGCACTGCTCGCGCACAGGGTATCGATTCGCAGATTGCACAGCTGTTCAGATTCGCTCTGAGCCTGCGTGAAGGAGACGCACGGCAGCAGATGGCCGCCTCTTGGAGCAAGAGGGGCACGCTGCGATAATTGGCAAGCTTTGAGGTCCTGGTTCACCATAGCGACCGCCGCGCAGGAACTGTCATGATGTAGGATTATGCCAGAAGAGATGCCCCTGCACCAAATCAGGTCACACGCCGTTGAGACCACCGAGTTGAGACAGATGGTCGAGACAAGGTTTGTGCACAGACCAATGCCACGCGGCCATCGACGGAGACATGGCCAGAAAGGAGTGGCAGATAGTGAGAATCACACTTTGTCGAAGGGACAACCAAACGCCCTCCCTCCAGAGGACGTCGGGCCATACACGCAGCCGAGGTGGCTTTGGGGAAGCGGGGGCCGCTGGAGCCCTGGGCTTCCCTGGGGGCTGGCGCACCTCCCCGAGCCGCGCTCGATCTCCGACGAATGCATCTCTTCAAGGGCCCCAGGAACACACAAATTAACACGCACAAATCCCAATATTCACTTTATTTTCCCATATTTGTTTGGTTGTCGTCTCCCCCCCACTTCCCACATTTTCCCATCTGTTCCTGGGGGTCGACGATTAATTGTGTCAGTGTGTTTCCCTCCTGATCTCTCTCAGATTTCACCCCTCTGCAAGCCGTGTTCGGGCTCCGTGGCCATCAGAAACAACAGCTCTGGGGCGAGGACCTGCCACAGGGGCAAGCGTCCGCATCTCTGTAGAGGGCAGAAAATCCACCGCGATAAAACCACCCCGACACGCGACGCCGTTTAGTAAACGGACCCAAAGAAGGAATCAAACAGGGCAGGGCTGCTTCGTAAACGCCCAAAGCCGTATAGTAAACGCCAATTGTCCAGTCTGGGTGATTTTTCCCCCCTTGACTCTAGGGCCGCGCGTGCAAAAATGTAAAATGTCGGATGTCTGGGTTGTTTGACGGGCCCGCGAGTCGGAGAGCGGCGAAACATCTGCAGGACTTGGCTGTCATTTGGGGGGTATCTTCTATAGGGGGGTACACGCGCAACGCTGGCATAGACTTTAAAGCGCCTAAAGATATTTCGGCGCTGGAGCCGAGTGGAGGGAGAACCGATGCAAATGCGCCCTCGGCGGGGCATGGATGGGGGTTGCAGCGAGAGGAGCAATGCTGGCAGGGAGAAGGGCGAAGGGGGTGAGGAAGGCGACCCACGCTGACACCACCGATGCCAAAACGCCGCGTTCGTTGTTCTGTTTCCCCCTCGCCACCCCCGCCCTCCCCCCGCATCAACCTGCATCCTTCTTTCGGTTTCCCAATTTCACATTGACCCATCCCCACCCCGCCCCCCCCCCCCCGCTCGTCATCCCTCCGCCATCCATGTTCAATGTGTTCCCCCCTCCTTCACCGCCCACATTCAACCCCGCCCCCCCCCCCCCCCCCCTCTCCCCACCCCGCCCCTCCCGAACAACATTTCCTCCGCCTCTGCCCCCGCCCCTCGCGGCCCCCCCCCCCCCGCCCCCCTGCGCCGCCGCCATGTTTTTTTCCGCCCTCCACGTTCCCCCTGCCTTCTCCTACCTCGCCCCCTCCCCCGCGCCATGTGCCCATTGTGGCAATTTCCAATTTTCCACATTGCCTCCTGGAGCCCTTGCTTTCCCCCCGCACATCTCATTCCCCCCGCCTTCCGTCCTTCGTGATTTGCCAACATCCCTGTCGCACTTCCATGTTATCCCTCCCCTATCCCGATTTTCTTCGGCGCGCTCCGCTTCTCCCTGGTGCCACTGGCGACCGCCTGCCCAACGGGTCAGTCTGAAGCAAGGCCAAAACCACATTTCAAGCCAACCACTTGCTTCTAGACAAGATCGAAGAAACAGCGCCCCACTTACGTGTACGCGCAAGGCCGCAACCACAAGTCGACACAGACACCTGTCTATAGACATAAGCGAAAACCAGACGCACCCCATCTAATGTCTATACCGACAATCGTAAACACAAGAGAACAGGTAATGTCTACCACCCCGAGACGCGTAGACATAAGGCACGACTTAGTGTCGAAGAGAAACAATCTCGGTTGACATAGCGCCAATTCTAATGTCAACCGGAAACGAAATATACATTAGTTCCGGGCACCCCGCAAACCGCAAATGCCGTTGACATAGCGAGGCCCGTGTCGTCACGGCCATAATGTCTACCATTGTTGTGGGTTTCGAGATCGTTTGATATTACCCTCGACAAATGCGAAATCGTCAGCAGTCGGCCCCCTCGGCGCGATTCGTGCGAACGGTGCGCCGAAATGGGCGCACAGACGAATTGCGGACCCCTCCGATGGGGCTGTCGATGGACCTTTCCAAAGGGCGCGGTGCACGTCGCTAACGCGCCGCAATGGGCGCAGCGCCGCCGTGCGAATTCCTCCTCGCGGCCCATCGATGGAGCGCCTAGTCGGGCGCGATACTCATGGGCGCGACGATACGGGCGCGCGAGTTCTTCCGAAGGGGCAAAGGGCGCCCATGCTGGGGCATTGTCCGCGGGGCGGGCGCGCCGAAACCACACGTTGGCGTCGAGCGACCCACGGGGGCCACGCTGGGAGCTCCTCATGGGCGCGCGATCCGCGCAAGGAGGCGCCGAAATGGGCGCGGCGGCAGCAATGGCGGAAGGAGATATGGGGGGGCGAAAGGACTAGGAGGGACCGCGCGGCGCAGCGGAGAGAACACGAGAATCCAACGCGCGAGAAAATGAAAGTAGCACGGGCGGCAATATGGCGAGGAAGCGGGACGCAGGGCAAGAGAGGCGGAGACGCGAGGAACAGCGGAGAGGAAGCCCCACCCCACAAAAAAAAGGGTTACACATAACGCATAACAGTACCCCAACACTGAAGGAAATTCCAAAACCGCCCGCCTTTGAGGTCGCACCGGCAGCAGACCCGCACTCTCGCGGCGTCAGTGCAGTCAGCGCCTTATGTCTACACTGGCTTCTGGCTCTATAGAAATAACCGTGAGCAACGCCCAGCTGACTGCCAATGCAGGACCCCCCCACCGGGTCTTCCAAGACCCCGTGCTCTTCACGGTCGGCTTCGCGACCTGAATCTCCAGGCGGTCCCGGTCGTGTCCTGGAGTCTCCTCCGCCCTCGTCCTCCTCGTCCGTCCTTGTCCCTGTCACCCTCCCTGCCCTCGTCCATTCTGGTCCTCGTCATCTTCCCGACGGAGAGACGCCCTGGGGCTCGTCGAGGGCTCACTTCGCCCAAATCCTTTCCCGCTCCTCGGAATTATCGTCCTCCTCCAAGGCCGCACGGGCACGTGGACCGGTAGAGAACTTCGAGCGCTAACCTTCTGGCTTTTTTTCCGCAGTTGTGGCGACTGGTGGAAGCGCAGGGAGTAGGCATGCAAGGAGGAGGGCAGAAGAGGGTAGTACGCATCCTGTCCATGGGGGCTCCCAGAAGTTGCCTGTTAAGGCTTTAGGCAGGCGAGCGGCATCGGCGTCATCACATCTGAGATTTCTGGGGTACTCCTCCTCTGAAGGGGCCCTGGGACACACAAATAAATACACACAAATAAAAAGATGCCCCATATCTTCCCATATTTTCTGGGCTTTGTCTTCCCCCCAATTCCCATCTTTTCCCATACTTTCTTGGGAATCGACGATTCATTGTGTCTCTGTGTTTTTTCCCCTCCTGATCCTCGGCTGTGAGGCCCGGACGCTGCCCCACGCTGCTCTACAGGTCTGCTGCGACCTGGCGTCCCTCTCCTGCATCCCCCAGGAACCTCTCTCCTCCGCTGCCGCCTTCTTCCCTAGGGGAACAAAAAGTGACATAAACAGAAAAACTCGGAGGTCCGCGCGGACTTCTCGGATCGGCTCTGGGGCCCCCCGGCGGCGCCTCCGGCGCCGCCCCTGGCGCGCTCCGCGCGCCAGAGAGGGAAGTCCAGCGCCGATCCGAGAAATGCGCGCGGACCTCAGAGTTTTTATGTTTATGTCACTTTTTGTTCTTCCCTCAGCTGGCGACGGCGTCGCCGTCGATGGGCGTCGACGACGACGGACGTCGGCGTACGACGGCGATGGCCTGGCACCGCTCCCCTGAATCCCCCAGGACTCTCTCTCCTCCGCTGCCGCCTCCCCCCCTCCTCCCTCTGCCCTCCCCCTCGGCTGCCCACGGCGTCGCCGACGA